TGTTAGAGTTAGAATTAAAGTTAGGGTTAGGATTAGCTTAAAGTAAAATTATGAGAGGAATATTTTTGCTTATATTACATAACAGGTTATCTTAGTAAAATTTTGAAATATTAGTATTTTTTCAAATTTTGTTATAGGAGATGAAGGTTTACTCTGGGTGAGAAATAAATTTGTCTTTAAAATATTAACTAAAAATATGTTAATAAATTAATAATGATAAGAATTTTTAGATTGGCTTTTAAGTTAAAATTAATAAGCAAATATTTAGATTTTGTAAAACTACAAACTATATATATATAAAGAATATTATATTCATAACACCTGTGTTATATAATACCCTATATGTTTTACATAGAGTTAGGGTCTGGTTTTAAAATAAATAGCGATTTTTTATTATATAATATATATTAGTTATAAGGTTCTAATAGGTCCCAATTTTAGTTTTTATGAAGTTTTCAAGGTCACTGATCATTTTTACTTAGAGTATCTATACCTATTTACTTAGTATGTTTTTGAGATATTGCAAAAGATGTTATATAACATGGTGTTATGAATATAACTTTTCTATATATATATTTTTTTTTTTTTGAAAGCGAGGTCATACCTCTGTAACTTTATTAATATTGTTATAGATACATTTATTACAATGTGATACAACTGAAGCAACTATAGTACAGGAGTTCAGACTACTTTATCTGTGACCTAAACTTTACCCAGTAAGGTCTAACCTGTTTTTAGGCCTGACTGAGATTTTTGCACTTCCAAGCTATCCTTATTAGTATTCTATATATATCCTTCATATTACTCATATAAGCCACAAATATACTTCCAAATAGGTATTACAACTAAGGCTCTGTAACAGTATTACTTCCTAATTTGGTGGTTGGCGTTGTCAGTATTCTCTCCAGATACTTAGACTCACTATTTTTCATTCCATGTCTTTTGTCTTTATCTTACAACCACTCCTTCTAGACTTTTCTTTTTTCTTTGAGCTACTAGCCTTCACGGCTCTTATAGTCATTTATTTGTACTTGTATACTGTGTTCTTATTTTCAGACAGAAACTCCTGTAGTTGGTTAGATATGGGCTGTGTTGTGTAACTGTCTCCAAAGTCAGTTACTTCCAACAAGATTTCATAATACTTGATTACTTCCAACTTGAGTATTTCAACTTGGTTGGTATTCTAAAGTTGGTGTGCCCTTGCAGTGCTGTTATACCTGTTTCATACATTAGTACTACCAGCTTGGTATAATCTAGCCTTTTCGAATTCATTTATACATTTTCTAGATAAGAACTATCACTCTATATTTAGAATCTTCTAATTTTAGTTTTTCTATGCAAGGTGCCAGAGATGCTTCCAAATTTGGTAAGGCTAATCCTTTACCACAGACCATTCTTATGTTCACCACTTCTCTCACTACTCCAGTTTTAATTATTGTTGTATCACTCTTCCAATCAAATCCAGTACTGCATACCAGTTTAGGACTTATATATGCAATCCAGTGATCACATTCCCAATCAAGTTCTACACAAGTTGGGTGTAGGGAATATTGGTGTTGCTTAAACTGGAAGTATAAGGATGTTGGTGCTGCCTGTCTATAAGGACTTACTTGCATGATCTTTAATAACTTTAACCTTCTGTAATACTGCTATTACATGTAGCATCTGCACTCAATAATTGGATCTCCTTTCAGAAATTCCTAATTCAATTTCGTACTTGCACGTGAACTTCTACAGGGTTTCGTATTTGATTTGGCTCCAATAGGTTACAGTAATAAATTAATAATTTACTACCAGCCTGACTCGAACAGTTGATCTTGTCTGTGGGGGTTTGAGAGCTTAACCAATAAGCTACAGAGCCCAAACCCTTTTCCTATATATAATTATTTTTTTAAAAAAAATTTTAATTATAATATTTTAATTTTACATATTTTTTAAGCAATATTACAGTAGACCAGAATATATATATATATATATTGATATTAAAGTGAGGCCTTGCTCATATCTTTATTAATAGTTTTTATCATAGTAATTACAAGGAGTTGCTAACCTTAATATATAAAATATAAAAAGTAAAAACTATATACAAGAATAAAGGCTCAGACTACTTTATTTATGACCTAAACCTACTAGAGTGGTCAAAGACTTATCTAGATTTTTTAAGAAGAAATAAATGTAGAGTAAATAGAGTATTTAATTAAATAAATTTAAAAGTAAGGCTAAATAATAAGATTTGTGTA